AATAAACTCAAGCTATTAGGACTTAATCAAACTTAAAACCTCTCCTCGGGGTCACCTCCAAGGGTCCCTGGGTGCCTGGTACAAGACCAGCCCCTATCCTCGGGTCCGAGTTTGTAGAGAGAGGGATCAAGAAGGACTTAGTCAAAACAGCAAGAGTACCTTGAACGTCGCGCAGCGTGCCGTGCAGACCGTCGGTCGGATTAAGCTGAGAATTTGCTATATCGAAGCTCGCTCCAAGAGCTTTAAAATGAGCCAAGTTGCCTCGCGAAAAGTTCTGCCATTACTAAGTTATGGCTCGGACAGTGTTTGCCTAGCGTTGGAGTGCTAGCATACTAGCGTTGACTCGGGTAGCATTCCGCCGTCGAATAGCGCAGAAACGAAATTCCAGCGAGGAAGGAATTCGCTTGAATCAATTTGACTATATTCAGGTACAAACAGAGAAGGATTAAATAGTTCTAGCTAGCAAGGACCTTGGGAATCAACCTGGGAACAACCAGGGATGATCCCAAATAATTCCAAGCAACAGAACCAACCTGGCTGGACAAAATAGCAGGTGGTAGGTTGGTAAACAACCTCTGGTTCTGTTTTTCCAACCTGGGAAAACAACAACCAGGTTCAGGTTCTAAAAACAGAACCTGTTTTGTCTTTGCCTAACCAGCCAAATGCTGGTTCCACTGGTTTCCCCTGGCCTTGTAGCATGCAGATACAGACAAACAACATCCAACCTTCACCTAAATTGTACCCCTATAGTGCCTTCCCTGCTACACTATAGTTAACCAAACAAAACAGTACAATTTTGAGTTGGATAGAACTGAATCTGCGCAATCAACTCAACCGAACTGCAAAGCTTCCATCTTGGGTTCCTTTGCGAGCTCGTCCTTTCTGCTTGCACTGTTCATAGTGCGTACAATGTTGTGCCGAAGCGCACATTGCGCGAGTACCTGCAAATGCATCAAGCGAAAATTGCGAAAGCAAACAAACATACGAACATTCCATTCACACCCAAATGCATTCGCACACGCATACTCGTACAAACAGACGGCAGGATGTCGTGCAATGTAAATTTGCACCCAACACACTCCCCCTCAGCCTGCCGGCTGCATCCCCGTCATTCCATGCTAGTTCATGCTCATTCCACTCATGCGCACACAACGCCAATGAGGCTCATCCGCAAGCCTCTTGGTGAGAAAGTCTGCTGGCTGCTGGTGAGTCTTGATGTAGATCGGATGCACCGTCCCCCTCTTCACCTCCTTACGCAGCCAGTGCCACTTGATACGCATGTGCTTGTTCAGCCCATGAAGCACAGCGTTTCTGGCCATCCCAAGAGCCCCCTTGCTATCACAAAACAGCGGCGTAGCAACTTTCTGCTCCTGGCCAATCTCCTCTAACAGCCTCCTCAGCCAAATCACCTCCTTCACCCCATGGAACATCGCCATGTACTCTGATTCTACGGAAGAGAGTGCCGTCTCCGTCTGCTTCTTGGACCTCCAACTAACAGGTCCTCCCCCAACTACGCAGATGTATCCTCCCACAGATGAGAAATCCTCCTTCTCAGAAGCCCATGTAGCATCGGTAAAGCAAGTGAGAAATAGCTTGCCTTCTCCAAGCCTCTCCCCCTTCTCTTTCAGCACCTCCACCCCTTTCTGCTTCACCTGTGCAGATGCGGAGTATTGAACTCCAATGCTTGGGTGAGAGTTCAGGTACTTCACCACACGCTCAGCTGCATCCACCTGCTCCTCTGATGGATTCTGCACCACCCTAGCCAGCTGCCCAACCGAGAAAGAGATGTCGGGCCTCGTGTGAACTGCTGCGTACAAGAGGCTGCCCACCAAGGACTGAAATTGCTGCTGCTCTTCAGCTTCAACCCCTTCATCCTCTGCAGCCTTCACAAGCTTGAATTCTGCTGGCAGGGGAGTTGCAACCTTGCGCTCATTCTCAATCCCATACTTCTCCCCCAGCTCCTTGATGAACTTCTCCTGGTGCAGCTTCAACCACCTGTGATCTGGATCCCTCTCCACGTGCATCCCGAGGTAGTACTTTACCTCCCCAAGGTTCTTGCACTTGAAGTTTTCCATCAGTTGCTGCTGCACTTTCTGGATCTCCTTCATGCTGCTGCTGAAGAGAAGAATGTCGTCCACATAGACCAGAAACAGCACCAGCTTCTCCCCCTCGCCCTTGAGAAAGAGGCTCTCATCACAGCTGCTGGTCCTGAATCCCATCTCCTCTAAAACAGCTGCCAACTTCTGGTACCAGCAGCGTGGCGCCTGCTTCAAGCCGTAGATGGACTTGTTGAGCTTGCACACCCTGCCCGTACCATCCTCATACCCAGGCGGCTGCGTCATGTACACATCCTCCTCCAAAATCTTCGTCCGCACCCACTCGAGCGTCCACAAGCTCTGGTTCTGCGGCAGGCTCAATCCGCTCGTAAATTGAAGCCACGATTCTGGCAGCAGCGAGAGCATCTTCAAGCACCTGGTCTGCTCCGGGTAGGTGATTCCCGCGGTCGCCAACTTCGCGTAGAGGTCGCGCATCTTGTCCAGGACTGGTTGCACCGGCTCTCCCTCGCTCAGGCGCAACGCGGACAGCTCCCTCTCCAGCATCAACGTTGCGACAACGGAGGTCGGGGCGTGCAGCTCCTTCAACACGGTCCACGCCTTCGGACCGCATTCAACCTCCGGCAGCAGGTGCATGACGTGGTGACGCTGGTTCAGCTCCAAACTCTGCGACATCAAATAGTAGCCAGCCGAGGAGCGCTCGTCCCAATCTTCCTGCAGCGTGGGGTCACTCGGTCTAGGCTCCTCCCCAATCATTAGTTTCAGCAAACCGATCTGACGGAAATATAATTGCATTTTCCAGGCCCAATCATCATAGCCCTCACCATTGAACTTCTCGACGGTGAAATTCTTCAGCACCTCCTTGACAAGCGAGCCCTGGTTTGTTCGCGCTCCCCTTGGCGCTGAAAGACCAGAATCTTGGCTGCCGCTACGATCTTGGGCTGAAGATTCACCAGCTCCCGCCGAGGTGTTGCCCGCCATAGCTACCTATAACGAGGATCACTATAACGCAGCTCTGATACCAGCTTGTTCGTGTAAGGGCCTAATAAACTCAAGCTATTAGGACTTAATCAAACTTAAAACCTCTCCTCGGGGTCACCTCCAAGGGTCCCTGGGTGCCTGGTACAAGACCAGCCCCTATCCTCGGGTCCGAGTTTGTAGAGAGAGGGATCAAGAAGGACTTAGTCAAAACAGCAAGAGTACCTTGAACGTCGCGCAGCGTGCCGTGCAGACCGTCGGTCGGATTAAGCTGAGAATTTGCTATATCGAAGCTCGCTCCAAGAGCTTTAAAATGAGCCAAGTTGCCTCGCGAAAAGTTCTGCCATTACTAAGTTATGGCTCGGACAGTGTTTGCCTAGCGTTGGAGTGCTAGCATACTAGCGTTGACTCGGGTAGCATTCCGCCGTCGAATAGCGCAGAAACGAAATTCCAGCGAGGAAGGAATTCGCTTGAATCAATTTGACTATATTCAGGTACAAACAGAGAAGGATTAAATAGTTCTAGCTAGCAAGGACCTTGGGAATCAACCTGGGAACAACCAGGGATGATCCCAAATAATTCCAAGCAACAGAACCAACCTGGCTGGACAAAATAGCAGGTGGTAGGTTGGTAAACAACCTCTGGTTCTGTTTTTCCAACCTGGGAAAACAACAACCAGGTTCAGGTTCTAAAAACAGAACCTGTTTTGTCTTTGCCTAACCAGCCAAATGCTGGTTCCACTGGTTTCCCCTGGCCTTGTAGCATGCAGATACAGACAAACAACATCCAACCTTCACCTAAATTGTACCCCTATAGTGCCTTCCCTGCTACACTATAGTTAACCAAACAAAACAGTACAATTTTGAGTTGGATAGAACTGAATCTGCGCAATCAACTCAACCGAACTGCAAAGCTTCCATCTTGGGTTCCTTTGCGAGCTCGTCCTTTCTGCTTGCACTGTTCATAGTGCGTACAATGTTGTGCCGAAGCGCACATTGCGCGAGTACCTGCAAATGCATCAAGCGAAAATTGCGAAAGCAAACAAACATACGAACATTCCATTCACACCCAAATGCATTCGCACACGCATACTCGTACAAACAGACGGCAGGATGTCGTGCAATGTAAATTTGCACCCAACAGAGATTGTGGATGAACCAGGTACGAAACCCGAACTGACAGACATGAAGAAGGGAACAGAGTACATACTGGACAGACAACTGATCCGCCCATCCACCTCTCCCTACGGCGCACCGGTTCTCTTTACTCCTAAACTGGACGGTAGTTCACGGATGTGCATCGACTACCGAGCACTTAACAAACAGACTGTTAAAAACAAATACCCATACATGTCTTTTAGATGATCTTCTAGATGAACTTGTAGATTAACTCCGTGGTGCAACAGTCTTTTTGAAGCTGGACCTACGGTCGGGTTACTGGCAGATCAAGACGGTGGAGAACTCGATCCACAAGATGACGTTCCGTACCAGATACGACTCCTATGAATATGTAGTGATGCAGTTTGGACACTGCATCGCACCAGCGATGTTCCGGGCGAAGATGAATCACATCGTATGGCCCCTGCTAGATGAATGCGTAGTAGTGTACCTGGACGACATTCTCATCTACTCCAAGAACATGAAGAAGAACGTGGAGCATCTGCAGAAAGTATTCGACATGCTGCGAAAAAAAAAAATAAGTTTTACGTGAGGACGTCGAAGTGCGACTTTGCCCTGAAGAACATGTCGTTTCTCTGGCACATGGTGAGTGCCTAGGGCATACATGTGGACCCGTGGAAAAATCGAAAGTGTCAAGTCCTGGAAGGTTTCTGAAAACGTGAAAGAGTTGCAGCAGTTCCTAGGCTTCGCCAACAGGTTTGTGCCACAGTACGCCAATATAGCAGCGCCATTGACGAACTTACTGGAAAATGATACACCCTATAAATATGATACTCCTCAACAGCAAGCTATGGAGAAGCTGTTGGTGTACGTGCCTAATAAACTCAAGCTATTAAGACTTCATCAAACTTAATACTTCTCCTCATCGGGGTCACCTCCAAGGGTCCCTGGATGCCTGGTACAAGACCAGCCCCTATCATCGGGTCCGAGTTTGTAGAGAGAGGAACCAAGAATGACTTGAGTACCTTATACGTCGTGCAGGGCATCGTGCAGACCGTCGATCAGATTAAGCTGAGAGTTTTCTATAGTGAAGCTCGCTCCAAGAGCTTTAAAACAAGCCAAGTTGTCTTGAAGTTCTGGCTCAGACGGCGCTTGCATCGCGTTGGAGTGCTAGCGTACAAGCGTCGACTCGGGTAGCATTCCGCCGTCGAACCGCGTAGAAATGAAATTCCAGCGAGGAAGGAATTCACTTGAATCAATTGACTATATCCAGAGTTAAAAACAGAGAAGGAATAAATAGCTAGACCTAGCAAGGACCTTGGGAATCAACCTTGGAACAACCAGGGATGATCCCAAATAATTCCAAGCAGCAGAACCAACCTGGCTGGACAAAACAGCAGGTGGTAGGTTGGTAAACAACCTCTGGTTCTGTTTTTCCAACCTAGAGAAGCTACAACCAGGTTCAGGTTCTAAAAACAGAACCTGTTTTGCCTTTGCCCAACCAGCCAAATGCTGGTTTCCCCTGGCCTTGCAGCATGCAGATACAGACAAACAACATTCAACCTTCACCTAGATTGTACTCTACAGTGCCTTCCCTGATACACTATAGTCTACCAAACAAAACAGTAGAATTTCGATTTGGATATAGTTGTACCCCTAAAGTGTCTTCCCTGTTGCGCAATCAATTAAATCGAACTGCAAAGCTTCCATCTTGGGTTCCTTTGCGAGCTCGTCCTTTCTGCTTGCACTATTCATAGCGCGTACAATGTTGTGCCGAAACGCACATTGCGCGAGTACCTGCAAATGCTTCAAGCGAAAATTGTGAAAGCAAACAAACACACGAACATTCCATTCACACGCAAATGCATTCGCATATGTATACTCGTACAAACAGATGGCAGGAGGTCGTGCAATATGAATTTGCACCAAGCAGAAGCTATAGACACGATTGACTACAGCACCAGTACTCATCCTACCGGAACTAGGTAGAGACTACGTGGTGGAAGCAGACGCTAGTGACCAGGCAGTCGGAGTAGTACTGATGCAGGATCACGGACGCGGGTTGCAGCCCACGCCTATGTCAGAATTAAGCTATATGAAGCTAAACTGAACTACTCAATTTTATGACAAGGAAGCATTAGCGATAGTAGCAGTCTTCAAAGCGTGGAGGTGTTTCGTAGAGGGAGCCAAGACTACAGTCTATACTGACCACTGCAGTCTCAGATACCTCAAGTCGCAGCCCAAGCTCTCACGGCGACAGGTACGGTGAGTTGACTTCCTGAAACTTACTTCCACTACTACAACATCTACAAACCCAAACTACATAACAAGGCCGACAAACTGAGCAGGCATCCAGCTCGATGGGATGAACGCTCATCTCAAGGGTCTATTCCAACATGGATACTCCGTGGACGCAGAGATTGCTATAGCACAGAAACATAAGCTATTACAGTGGGAGAAAGACTTAGCTGTAAAAAAGAGTTCAGGGAAGATTTGGGTACCGAACTATACCCCACTCCGACAGATCTTACTGGAGGAGTTTCACGACGTGGCTTACACGGGACATTTTGGGAGCAACAAGACGTTAGCAGGGATAGCAAAGTATTACTACTGGCCCCGGATGGCAGCAGACGTACAGCAGTTCGTCACCTCATGCGACACGTGCCAGCAGATGAAGAGTAGCAAGCAGAAAAAAGCAGGGTTACTTCAGCCTCTACCCGTACCGGAGCAGCCATGGCAAGTCGTTAGCCTAGACTTCATCACTGAGCTTCCTTTGACCTGACGACGGCAAGTTTTCTAAAATGGGACATTTCATTCCAACCAATGTTACGGCTACGGCTGAAGCAACTGCTCGCCTTCTGTTCGACCGCATCATCACCATCCACAGCATCCCCCTACAGAAATTCAGACATAGATCCGAAATTTACGAGTAAGTTCTGGACGGAACTTATGGGTTTGTTGGGGACAAAGCTTGCGATGTCTTCAGCGTACCACCCCCAGACTGACGGACAGATTGGGCGACTCAATCAGGTGGTTGAACAGTTACTGCGCACAGCTTGCAAAGACGACATCAGCCACTTGGATCTACAGTTACCAACCCTAGAGTTCGCTTACGACAACGCATTACATCCCGCCACAGAGAAATCTCATTTCTTCCTGTACTACGGACGAGAACCACTCACACCACAGCAGCCAACCACACCAGCACACGTCCAAGCTGATCACGACTTCGTCACCACCATGCAGCAGCTATGAGAGAAGACTCAGCGACATCTCAACACAATGCAGAACTCCCAGAAGCAGTATGCAGATCGACAGCGACGTCATTACTCACAAACAGTCGGAGATTAGGTGCTCCTCGACACACGCAACTTAGACCGCTCTCACCTTCCATCCAAGCTTCGGCCTCGCTTCTGTGGTCCCTTTCGCGTTGAGGCAATGGTGACACCAGTAACATTCCGCTTGCGCTTACCTACTACGTGGAAGCTTCCATGTTCAGCTTCTGAAGCCCTACAAGGACCCCAATCACCAATTCCAGGGACGGCAGCTACCGCCTCCTCCACCTGTTCTCATACAGGATGAACCAGAGTACGAGGTGGAACGCGTTCTCACTCATCGGCGCCGCGGCGGCAAGACCCTCGAGTTCCTGATACGCTGGAAAGGATATGACCCATCGGAGGACAGCTGGGTTGCAGATCATATAGGCAACGCATGCCGTACTCTAAAGAATTATCTTGTCAAGCAGGGTGTATCTTACGCCACCCAGCTTTGAGGGGGGGACATGTGAGAGTTAGACGGGTTATGCTTGCTTGCCTTGACCATATTCTGCTATTTCTATCTTAGGTTGATTGCTTATGCTTGATTTCCTAGGTTAGGTGCATTCCTATATTTATTATAGTTATAGTACAGAACCAGGTTGCGTGCACCGAAATTCAGGCTTTTCGGTTTCCACCGCATTGCCTTCTACCGAATTCCGTAAAGATCCATTCGGGACATTTCGCGACCCTCGGAACCGTCATGTACCACATGGGTACTGGCCTTGTGTCGAGACTATATATAGTCTCATATTGTACCCATGCATTGGCATTCGTTTTTTTCTGAACTCGATTTTATCGATCCTCACAGCGATGGCGACGAGGCTGGACATCGCGTTCGCCTGTAGCAATCTGGAGAGCGGCCTTACGGTGAGGAGCGACCAGCACTGGCGCGAGGTTGACCGCTGCCTCGCCTACCTCGCCGACACCCGTGACACCGCCCTCGAGTTCGATGGTGGTCCAGAGTCGCTGAAGCTGGTCGGCTACGTGGACGCCGACGACGCTGGCGACAAGCAGAAATGGACGAGCACGGGCGGCTTCGTATTCGTCTACGGAGGGGCCGCCGTGTCCAGGTCGAGTCAGTGCATCAAGCGCGCAACATTGTCGTCGATCGAGTCGGAATACCTGACGGCCACAAAAGCTGACAAGCAGGGGCGCTGACTTCGCTTAGTACCAACCATACGGGTACGTAACGCACTTACACATAGTGCCAACCACATTGGTAACTAACACACATACTCTGTTAGGTGCAAATGCACATTGCACGACATCCTACCGTCTGTTTGTACGAGTATGCGTGTGCGAATGCATTTGGGTGTGAATGGAATGTTCGTGTATTTGTTTGCTTTCGCAATTTTTGCTTGATGCATTTTCAGGTACTCGCGCAATGTGCGCTTCGGCACAACATTGTATGCGCTATGAACAGTGCAAGCAGAAAGGACGAGCTCGCAAAGGAACCCAGGATGGAAGCTTTGCGGTTCGGTTGAATTGATTGCGCAGATTCAGTTCTATCCAACTCGAAATTGTACTGTTTTGCTTGGTTGACTATAGTGTAGCAGGGCAGGCACTATAGGGGTACAATTTAGGTGAAGGTTGGATGTTCTTTGTCTGTATCTGCATGCTACAGGGCCAGGGGAAACCAGCGGAACCAGCATTTGGCTAGTTGGGCAAAGACAAAACAGGTTCTGTTTTTAGAACCTGAACCTGGTTGTTGTTTTCCCAGGTTGGAAAAACAGAACCAGAGGTTGTTTACCAACCTACCACCTGCTATTTTGTCCAGCCAAGTTGGTTCTGTTGCTTGGAATTATTTGGGATCATCCCTGGTTGTCCCCAGGTTGATTCCCAAGGTCCTTGCTAGCTAGAACTATTTAATCCTTCTCTGTTTGTACCTGAATATAGTCAATTGATTCAAGCAAATTTCTTCATCGCTGGAGTTTCGTTTCTGCGCTATTTGACGGCGGAATGCTACCCGAGTCAACGCTAGCATGCTAGCACTTCAACGCTAGGCAAACGCTGTCCGAGCCATAACTTCGTAATGGCAGAACTTTTCGCAAGGCAACTTGGCTTATTTTAAAGCTCTTGGAGCGAGCTTCGATATAGCGAATTCTCAGCTTAATCCGATCGACGGTCTGCACGGCACGCTGCGCGACGTTCAAGGTACTCTTGTTATTTTGGCTAAGTCTTTCTTAGCTCCTCTCTCTACAAACTCGGACCCGAGGATAGGGGCTGGTCTTGTACCAAGCACCCAGGGACCGTTGGAGGTGACCCCGAGGAGAGGTTTTAAGTTTGATTAAGTCTCAATAGCTTGAGTTTATTAGGCCCTTACACCAACAAGCTGGTATCAGAGCCGCGTTATAGTGATCCTCGTTATAGGTAGCTATGGCGGGCAACACCTCGGCGGGAGCTGGTGAATCTTCAGCCCAAGATCGTAGCGGCAGCCAAGATTCTGGTGTTTCGGCGCCAAGGGGAGCGCGAACCAACCATAGCTCGCTGATCAAGGAGTTGCTGAGGAATTTCACCGTCGAGAAGTTCAATGGTGAGGGCTATGATGATTGGGCCTGGAAAATGCAGCTTTACTTCTGTCAGATTGGATTGCTGAAACTAATGATTGGGGAAGAGCCTAGACCGAGTGACCCCGCGCTGCAGGAAGATTGGGACGAGCGCGCATCGGCTGGCTACTACTTGATGTCGCAGAGTTTGGAGCTGAATCAGCGTCACCACGTCATGCACCTGCTGCCGGAGGTTGATTGCGGTCCAAAGGCGTGGACCGTGCTGAAGGAGCTGCACGCTCCTACCTCCGTCGCCGCGACGCTTATGATGGAGAGGGAGCTGTCCGCGTTGCGATTGAGCGAGGGAGAGCCGGTGCAACCAGTTCTGGACAAGATGCGTGACCTCTACGCGAAATTGGCGACCGCGGGAATCACCTACCCAGAGCAGACCAAGTGCCTGAAGATGCTCTCGCTGCTGTTGGAATCGTGGCTTCAATTCACGAGCGGATTGAGCCTGCCGCAGAACCAGAGCTCGTGGACGCTCGAGTGGGTGCGGACGAAGATTCTGGAGGAGGACTTCCGTCGCCGCCAACTGAGGGGTGGGGACGACGGCAGCAGCGGCTACGGGATGCAAGGGAACCGACGTGGCAGAGGACGTGGCTTCGGTGGTGCTGGGCGCGGTGCAAAGAAGGACGACGACTCCAACGACCAACAAGGAGGTACCGGTTGGGGTCGCGGTGCGAAATCTGGACGTGGGGGCAAGTCGGGTGCTGGTGGCAAAATGAAAGGGAGTTGCTGGTATTGTGAGAAGGAGGGGCACCCCTGGTTTTTGTGCTATAAGAAACCCGATGGATGGACCCCCCAGAATCGTCAACAGGATGGCGGCGCGCGAAGGAACCAGAAAAACGGCGCGAACATGGTCGCTGATTCGTCCGACAACAACCCGAAGAGCAACGGTGGTGCGGAGAAGAAGAAGGAGCGCACCGCGGGCCAGTTCTTCCATATTGGAGAGCAGGGGGAGCAAGGAGACGCCTCTGCCAAGGTTGGAGCAGAGCTGCACCCCCTGGACTATTGGGTGTTAGACACGGGCGCTGCTTGGACGATGACGCCGCGCAAAGACCTGCTGGACGACGTACGCGCTGCACCGATTAACGAGGTGTGCTCCGCCTCTGGACACGCGCTAAAGGTGGCTGGTGCGGGACGAGCTGCATTTAAGGGAGCGGATGGCAAGCCGGTGGTGCTGCACGACGTTCTCCTCGTTCCCGACCTCAAGGCCAACCTCATCTCCCTCTGTAAGCTTGCCAAGGCTGGGGTGAGCACTAGCACGGATGGGGCTCGCACGTACAAGGGGCAGCTGGGCAATCGGGTGCTTTGGGATCTGCACGAGAGCAAGGACGTGTACAGATCCATGTGGCAGCTGCCGGCGTTGGCGTGGCACGGTGGGGGGCAGGCTAGAGAGGGGTCTGCATCCCAGGGGGAGTGCAATGCCGTTGGAGGGGTTGGCGTGAAAGTGTCGGCCAGATCTGGGAAGACAGATTGGGCAACGGCACACCGACGCTTGGGGCATGTGGCAATGCCTTTGCTGAAGCAGCTGGAGAAGGATGGAGCCGTCAAGGGTTTGAAGCTGAACGGACAGCCACCCGATGACAACTGTGAAATCTGTTTGCTTTCAAAGTTCACCCGTTTCCCTTTCCATAGTGTGGCTGGCAGGAGCAAGAAGCCTTTAGAGCTGGTCCACATGGGCTTGGTGGGGCCGCTGCCGGTGCAAGAGCACAAGGGGGAGCGGTATTTTCTTACAATTGTGGATGACTGGAGCAGGCTGATGTGGGCGTATCCGCTGAAGCAGAAGGACCACGCCGCATCCACGATACGGGACGATTGGCTGCCGTTCGTGGAGAAGCAGGCGGAGTGTGTAGTGAAGCGGATTAGGACAGACCGGGGTGGTGAGTTCCTTGGAGCTGAAATGACGGCCTGGCTCA